CGTATAAAGTAGAGGAAGATGGGCATGGATGTTAGCTCAGGGCCAGTCTTTCTCAGCAAAAAGAAGAGGATTGGCAGTAGTTAGCTCAGGGCTAATCTTCCTCAAAAAATAAAATAAAACATCCTCTATTGGTCCAAATAATTGCATATTCTATTTTTATTTCTAAGATGAAGCCTGCTTACCTAATAAGTGTACTCCTAAAACCATGCTGCATAATACATATTTAGTTGTTGAAAAGATTTTCCTATTTTGCTATTAAAAGTCCCAGGAAAGACGACAAAAATATTAAGGTCCACTTACATTAGCACATTCCTCTGGCTCTACCTTAATTGTTTTTCCATTAAAAATAATTCTTTGAAAAAAATAAGAAATATAACTAATCACATGTTCTTTTTGAGCCTTTGAATAACATACCTCTCCACCGAACAAGAGCAACACATTAGATAACTCAGGAAGCTCTGTCTCTCCAAACTAGGCAGTCCTAAGCAGAGCTAGCTTCTGTTTTTAGGAAAAGCCCCACTCCTATAAATTTTACCTCTCTTTATCTCAAATCAGGAGTCAACACGTGCAGGGTGCAGCGCTGTAAGCACAGCAAATAAAACCACAAAGAGAAAAACTATAGCTTTTAGAACCCCAGTGAGGTCACAGCACCTGCAAAGGAAGCCTGGTCATTGCTTTTTGAGGAGGACTGTGTAGAATACGGGGAATGAGTAGCAGAGGATTAAAAACTTGGAGAACCACTGAAGCGACGAATAATGCCCAATCTGTCTCTGCAACCTCTTACTTCACACAATTCACATCACAACAAAGCAGTAAGCAGTGGAAAAGACTTAAACCCCTACCCTACTCACCTGTACAAGTGAGCTGCAATACAGAGTTAATGGCCCAGTTTCATACTACTTCTTCAATTAAAACAAACAAAAACACAACATACCTTCCAAAAGGGATCCCAATTCGTATTTTCCGCTAAAAAATTTGGGCAAGGAAAATACAAGTGCTCCCAGTCCTATCATGAAGGATGCAAATGCAAGCCATCTTGGTTTGTGTCCTCTTTCACCAATGAATGATACAAATAAAGACAACAAGCAGAATGAGATATCATAGCTCGACGATATCAGGCCCGTCAGGGAACTCTTCATTTCATAGCGCTTCTCAATCGTGGAAATGCTAATATTTACTAGGCCATTTACTACAATACCTAAAAGAGAGAAAAAGGAATTTACGTGCATTATTCCAACTTTACCATATAGATCATGATCACTAACACAATTTACTAAAGTTTGGTTGTTTGTTTCTCTTGATATTTTTTAATGAACAAATTTGTCTCAAAGTTTCAAAACTAGGCAGCTCAAACATACTTCCTTACAAATCAGTTTACTTTTAAACTATACACTTGTGAATTTTCAGGTGTTAAACAAAAGCGATGCTTATCACACACTAAATTGTAGCTAAGTTCATTTTTCTTTAAGTGACAAACAGAAAGTAGACTAGTAAAGTCTCATGAAGCTGGTTTGCTTGAGAGTTTCCAAGGGTAGCAGATTCCCATGGATCTCACTTGGAAGGGGGCAAAAAGTACAGGTGACGCCAGAGGTCCTTAGAGTAATGCTCAATTGCTTCCCAAGGCTACTCAACCCTTAAATATATTTATGTAGAATAGGAGATCCTTGACTTAGTCTTAAGAAAGGTGAAACGGAGCTCTCAAAACTCTTTTTTTTCTAACACTCTTCTAGACATTAAAGTTATCATTTGAAAGGTCCTGGAGAAAAATAAACATAAACTAAAAGTGCTATTTCAACCACTGGCATTCAAAACCATAGGCAAAATAAAAGAAAAAAACTTACACTTCATCTGTTTATTATAACCATGATGCAGGAATATAAAGCAAACGAAGAAAATCTGGAAATCCAGTTTTGACTGACTTAAAAAACGTCCTGCCCAGATGAACATTAAATTTACAGGAATTTAAACATTATTACAAATTGAAAATAAAAAGCATCTGATCAAACTACAAAGTCTTTAACTAGTTACCAGTTTTACTGAAGAGAATACCATGAATTGTTTTCATTCACTAATTAGGAGAAAGAGTATATACAAGCCATGATCTCTACAATCTCTTCAAATTGTGCTTTATCAAGACTATAACTGCAAATACCTTTCAAGAAGATTGACATAAGTTTTAACGTTCTAACATGATTTTTACATTTATGCCAGTTTAATAAGTCTATAAGCCAATTTACACTTCCTGAGATTTCAAGTATCCAAAGTACCTGGGAATGACATCTTGATAAGGAGATAAAGTTATCTCAGAATGCGAAAATTTCCCCATCCAAAAATCAACTTCCCAACATAGTTGCCATACTGATTAAAAGTTAGTCATTAGAACTCAATGACTTTATGGTAAAACTTCTCTGGAAAAGCAACTCTTGTAAACTCTTGTGAAAGGATAGCATTTTAACCTATGCACTCCAATGTGAATTCTATGCTATGCCAGTTCCAGGAACTCTGCTTAAAAAAAAAAAGAAATTCCATGAAATACTGCATACTATGTCTCTCTACTGTAAATGCACGAAGATAGGAATCACATTAGGAAATTAAGTGATAGGAGAAATTACAAAACAGATAAGGCACAACTCTTTCTTTAAGAGTTTACCTTTAAGAAATGCTGGTTAAGTAAATTCATTTGGCAAATTTTAGGGACTTTTTCCCCCCAATTAAACACCTATTAAAATTAAAGACCATGGAAATGGTCTTCCCAAACATCATGTTTGAGAAACATGGTAATAATGTTTTCAGTCATTCAAACTTAAACTGAAACAAGAATTAATTTATTGGGTCACTTTCATCTCAGATTACACTTCTAAATTGGAGACTTCTGCATAAATGCAGCTCCACACTAAACCCGACACATTTCTCTAAAAGTGCCAATTATATTTGATAATAATTTTATATAATATTTTATATTAAAAGTCAAATGACGTATTCTGGAATGAAGTAGAAATTTCAGAATATATTTTAAGATAAAACACAAGACAAGAAGTTTTTTACTTATGTCCAACTTCATTGAACTTTGCATTCCTTTGACACTGAGATGCTTCAGAATCACTGATTTGGAACAACTAACATCAAGACATTGAGAGAAGGTGAACTTTGGTGGGGACAAGAAAGGTGGAAAGGGAAATAACTCTTGAGCACAAAACTACTCTTAGTAGAAGATCTGCCATTGACTTGGAATCAACAAATACTTAGCACCTAACATGTGCAAAGCAAGAGACACAGTTCCTTTGAGAAAGGGGAGCAGGTATAACAGGAAGAATATATTTAGCTTTATTCTTCTGCTAATCTTTAAAAAGCAATTTCCAACCCCCTCTCCCCCAAACACTTCTTGGATTGTATTTCTTCCACTCAGTCCTTGATTGCCTCTTTACAAAATATTTTGAAACCACGACTCAAGTGACCAAAAAATATCTAGATACCATCAAATTCTAACTAACGTTCAGCATGTCCTTCAATGCTCCACCTTAATGCCCACCCCTCCTCAGGTAGTCACCTTAGTGTAACTTTCCATTTCTTTCATCCCCTGCATGAGATGCTACACCACAGCAGCTTTTACCTTCTCTAGGCTTTCTTTCTTACAAGCCATTCTCCTACCCTACCACTCGCTCCTCCAAAGAAGGCTTAGATTGCAAACTCCTGGGGGTATAAACCTGGGCTTTATCAGTAAGTCCCACGAGAGTCTAAAAGATACCCTTGAACAAAACAGATAAGGCACAACTCTTTCGTGTTTGAAAGGCTTCACCCTTTCAATAAGGACTGAAGCGTTCGCTAACTTACTCACTGGGCTCCACTTGTGCCTATATACAACTCAAACTAAACACACCCATAAAACATGAATGCTTATGTCTAATCTAAACTATATATATTTCACAAGTTTCTCCTTTGGGGAGCCACCCTTCCACTCATCTGCAAATTTATTAATCCTTCCCTTCCAGAAACAATGTAAAAAATCCCTTTAATAAAGGGTTTAGCAAAATTACAAGCTTTTGTAATGTAGAATAGATTCCCCCAGGGAAAACCATTCCTCAAGGAAGGCTCCAGTAACTTCCATCCTCCTTGGAGGAATCGAATCTGCTAAACTGAGGCAGAACACCAACAAGAAAAGGCTTGTATCTCCAAGTTTTAAATGTTGGGATAAAAGAGAAGCGAAACCGTGGAAGCCTGAACCTGGCTGGCTGACGTCAGCGGCAACGCCCGCAAATCCCGAGCCGGGGGCCGCGGCGCCCGGAGCTCCCCGCACCTGCCGCGCCCCCGCCAGCCGCGCGCGCCCTCCGCGCCCTGCGCTCGGCCGACGCCCTCCGGAGCCGGCGCCGAGCAGTACCTTGCGTGAGGGCCAAGAGGCAGTAGTGCAGCAGAAAGCCCTGCGGCGTGTTGCAGCGCTGCAGGCACGCGGGTTGGAAGGTCCCCCAGCCGCAGGGCCCCTCCTCAAACTCGGACCCCGACTCCGGCCCGGGCCGCTCTGGGGAGCCGGGGCCAGTTGCTGAAGGCAGCGGTGGCTCCGGTGACTTCTGGAGCTCCTGATTCTCCGGCGGCTGCGAATCCGCTCTCTGGGTATTGGCGGCCAAGACAGAGGCCTCGACGGAAGAGGGCGATGCGGTCGGGCGGCGCGGGGTGTCTGGGCTGGAGGCGACGAAAGCCGGGTTCTCAATGCCTCTGCCGCCCTTCATGGTCGGGATGGGTTCTCCCGACTCCCGCGCGTTGGAGCAGCAAAAAGCCCCGGTCCCGCTCTGGCTCCTCCCCCAGGCAGGTGGCAGCGCCCCCGTGCGGGAAGACGGCCCGCCTCCCTGCCGGCCGGCTCCGGGGCTCCCGCCGCCGCCGCGACCCTCCTCCGCGAGCGCCGGGCCGCCTAGCGGTGGCCTTGGCCTGCGGCCGCGTCCCACCTGTCGCCGCTGGGGCCAACCGGGATGCGCGGCGTGGGCGTGCCACCCGGCCGCAGCCAGGTGAGGAGGCGAGGTCCGCCCGCCCGCCGCGCTCCTTCCCGGGGCCGAGGGACTGGGAACCAAATGGAGGTTGTGGGAGTCTGGTGGCCGTAAAGCTCCCCCGGGTGCTAACAGGAAAGCTGTAAACAGTTGCATCAGGAGCTTGCTCAAGGAAATATCCTGGGGTTTTCTTCCTTTGCCGCTTACCAAACCAGGCCAGGTCTGGACTCCAAGAAGCGAGCAGCCACAGGTACAATACTTCGGATTCCATGAACGTCATGGTAAGACTTTTACCTGTCATCTTCCCTAAAAACGGAAATTCCCCACCCCTGCCCTCCATCACCCCCGCCATTAACATCACAATCTAACCACCTTTTTGCTTTTACTTCCTCAAGACTGAAGGAATTGAAATTAAGAAACTTTAAAAGCATATATATATGATATTCTTTCTGCTGTGTATTGTGTATCTAAGATCAGCAATGCTAATAACCATGAAAATGGTTTCTACCAGTGGAATAAATAAGAAAAACACTTTGAAGAACTGACCATTTTGTGACAGTACTAGTTACAATACTAGTTGCAATAATACTAGTACTAGTACTAGAATTCATGCATTCATTCATCAAAAAACATTTATTTCCCAGGTGCCAAACACTGTTCTAGGCTCTGGGGGTACAAAAGTGCACAAAAGCGGACAAACACCCGTACCCTTAGGGTGTTTACATTCCAATAAGAGACAGACAGTCAGTGGTAATAAATACGTAGAACATCTCATGGTGATAAGCGCTGTGGATAAAAGGACAGCAAGGACAGGCTAGAAAGTGTGTGTTAGGGGAGGGGAGAGAATTCCATGCAATTTTGAATAAGGTGGTCAGGGGAGGCCTCAGTGAGAAGGTGACTTTTGAGCAAAGATCTGAAGGAGGTAAGGGAGGGAGCCTGGTATGTTGGGGAAATAGAGTGGCTGGGGTTGATTGAGATGGTTGGAGAGCAGTTGAGTTGAGGGCAGGTAAAGGGGTACAGGTGGGGTGGGGGAGAAGAAGAAGTGATTGGGGCCAGACCTTGTAGACCAGTATAAGGGCTTTGGCTTTTCTTGTGAGGGAAATAGGAAGGTTTGGAGCTGGGGAATGGCATGCTCCTGACATGATCAGGGTTTCAAAAGATTCTTCTCTCTCCTTCTGAAGATAGACTAGTATATCCCAAAGTAATACGTTTTAAACAAAGACGTTCTTAAAACCATATTTTAAGATCTCAGAATTTTTATCTTCCCCTAAATTAAATATTTATTCCAATAAGGAACATACTAAAAACCACACATGCTTCCTTCTTGCTATGTAATCACAGCTAGGTACACAAAGCTACTATGCTTCCTAAGACTGCAGACTGTTTAAGAACCTACTTCCTCATATCTAATTGTTGGTTATAAAACATCTCAAAACAATAAGACTGGACTGCCTTTAGCAAAAGTTATTAGAGATCTCAGATGTTACTGGATACTATACTGCTATATCATACTGTTTTAAGTACACAAGTACTATTATTCATTTATAAGCACCCTTTCATTAAAAGTTAGAGAACTTCAGTAAATATTAATTAATCATGCTAGCAAATTCTAGAGAGAGTTTTGAATCTTGCTATCTTCATTTAACACCTGGCTGATTGCCTGCCCAAGAAGCTACTTCTAGATTCAGTAATAATACCTGTCGAATAGCAATGATTTGGTAGTGTTTGATGTCATATCCAAGTGTAGCCTTAAACCCAGACAATATGGTGATGGAAAGGTTACCTTGCATCCTGAAACAAGATGTTTTTATTTCTTCTAACCACAGGCACTAGGCTCATTTTTAAGATGGCCTAGAGGAATGTTTTTCAGTTACTTCTTTTTTTTTTTTAAAGATTGGCACCTGAGCTTACAACTGTTGCCAATCTTCCTTTTTTTCCCCTGCTTTTTCTCCCCAATTCCCCCCAATACATAGTTGTATATTTTAGTTGTAGGTCCTTCTAGTTGTGGCATGTGGGACACCGCCTCAACTTGACCTGACGAGCAGTGCCATGTCCGTGCCCAGGATCCGAACCAGCAAAATGCTGGGCGGCCCAGCAGAGCGCGCAAACATAACCACTTGGCCGCGGGGCTGGCCCCTAACACTATTACTTCTTAATAAAATAAACTAGAATTCAGAAGAAAGAAAATACATAGTGCATGGCACATAATAAGATGAGTACCATTTTGTGAAAATTTTGTTTCAATTGTATATGCTTTATTTACTGAGTTGAGGGATTGAAATATAAAATATGTATCGTACTTTGAACAGACGTACATCATGTACCTTCACTATCAAGAAAGATCTAGACCGGCCTGGAACACAGGGAATGAGTGGAAGTAGGAACTAACATTTTTTAAATTTCTAGTGTATGTTCCTTTGTTAATCCTTACAAGAGGGTTAGGTATTAGGATCTACATTTTACATGTTAAGGAAACTACATTCCAGAGAGGATTAGGAACTCTCCTGAAGTCATATAGCTAATAAGTGGCCTGCCACTTAGTAAGGATTTAAATTTTGTTCTCTCAGTCAGATGTGTTCCCTGGATTTTGCATTCTCTTTCTTTTAACTGCTACAGCCTATCTCTGTTGGTTACAATTATTGCACAGCGGTTCTGAGAGATCAAAACACATTTCTCTGATGTTGATGAGGTTGAAGGACTAATGCTTTGAATACCCCAGATTTTGCAGATATCCAAATTAGGCTTGGCATGTAATCCTCCTAAGCTTTCTATCAAAGAGAAAGTTTCGGCAGAAATGGACTTAAAGAAGCTGCCTAAAGGTGTAAATAGATATGATCACCATTTTATCTGAGAAATCTGAAGTAATTTAACCAATGAGAAAATTTTTCTTTGATGAGATGTGGTTAAATACAGTCATGGCTTAAGACTATTTGCCGCTTTGAATTAAGAAATTCAAACTATCCTATCAAAGCGGCATAATCATCATGCACTTCGATACATGCCGTCTAAGGAGAAACCTCCACTCTTGCAGCGTTAGAGAGGAGAATTTTGTTGAAAGATTAGCAAAAGTGCTGTTGCTTCATCTTAAGTGCGTCTTGCTCTTACTGAAATTGTTATCAACACCGCTTTCCTGTTCCCCTACATCCTTTATGCTGCAATGATGGAAGGAAGGGGGTTCAGCTTTGCAACAAAGACAAAGAAAACAAAAAAACGTAATAGGTTTTTTCTCTGATAATTCTGTGGAAAATTGTCATTTTTCAGTTCTTTGGTCAATCTAGGGTAAAGCTAGTGAACATAGTCAAAATACACCATGTTAAATTTCAGAAGGTAATTAATAAATTGCTATTCTTTGAGGGATTTTCTGTGCTATATTTTTAAAGGGTGAAGAATAGGAGAAAGAACAGTATCCACATTTTATAGTAAAGCTCCAACAGTGTACACAGGAGCAGATGTCCTGCCTATTAATCTCATTCTCTGGAATGTGCAGTAGGTCTTCCCTATCAGAAACTGGATGAACCAGGGTAAAGTGGCTTAATGACAGAAGCTTTCAAGATTAGCCCACTAATTTTCCTTGGTCTGATTCCACGCTTAAAAGCAATCTTATGATTATATGTGGGCTTCCATGTGGATATAGCTATAGGATGAAAAGGTACTTAGATGCCTATCTTGAGTACTTTTTCATTTTCTGTTCTGTGTGCTTTTAATACTTTATTAGTGCCCTTACAGTTGCAGACTGGATGTGAATTCTTTAGCAATATAACACTGTGAGGCTCATAGAGTATTACAATTAGAGGGATTTTGAGAGAGCTTGAGTACAAAGATGGTCAAATGCAGATATTATTGAGAATTAAAAATCCCAGTATTAAAAATTTATTAATACCACTGGATCTTATATTAACTAAATGAAAACAATGAAGCAATAATCTAAGTTATCTTCTTGGTACTCTTCATTTATCTTTTCCATTTTAAATGCTCTACAAAATGTATAATTAGAAGTAAATTATATCTAAGAAAAAATAATGCTGACTAGATTATTTTTAATACTGTTTTTAATTGCAATTGCACAGAAAGATGTATTTATATTGAGAAGAAATACAGCTATGCTTTTTCTTTTAGTCGTATTAATCATGTCATGAAGAAAGAGATACATCCATAAACATGGCTGATCATAATTTTATAAAAAGAAAATATGTAAACATTTAATACAATAATCCCACAAGAAAGCTAACCTAGTAGGTAGTGAAAAATATACTAATGTAAAATTTATGATACAGTATCAAGTTAAGCTTCTCACAGATAGATGATTATTATAATTTATTCAGAACACAATGAACTCTATAAAAGTATACTTATAATACAAATATCACAACATTAGACATGGTGAAGAAAGCATAGTTGGATTTATACATATCAATAAATAGTTTAAACTAGAAGAAATTATTCTACTATAAATTAGTAATTATTATATTATTTCTAAAACATTTTTCTTTTCTACTCAAGATCAGATTTTGATGCCTGGAAACAGTCTTCCCTATGCTATGATTCTATAGGATATACATAATCATAATGTCAATGATTATGACAAAAAGCCATCTCTACAGAAAAGAGAAACAGCCATACTACCACTCTTGATAGTCCCCATCACACCCCCAATTTAAACACTACCCATTTCTTAACAAAGGAAAGTATATGATGAAGGTTATCAAAATTTAGATTTACAAAACTATAGGGACATAAAGATATAATTTGTTCCAGCAGCCTGCTTCTAGGAAGATTAATATCAAATGCACCCAAAAACTCAATGCAGTCAGAAACAGGAAATGGGCCAATAACAGATAAAGTGATAGTGGTGAGTGAGAAATTGTCATATATTCTTTCACAGTAATCTTTTCACGATTTACTAGGAGGTGGGAGAAGTCTAGCGTGAGGTTGATGGAGCTAGCAGGCCACTATTAATTAGCAAAATAATTTACCTGTAAATACAAATAAGAGCTCTAATGCACAGAGTTCACGGCAGTAGATGTAGGTAAAGCAAAACAAAAGCAAAATCAAAACCTTACATTTCTACTTTATAACCTGTGAAAGCTCTCAGAACGTGCTCCTAGAGGACACGGACAAAGATTTAATACCCTACAAAGGTGATATGAAAATAAAGAATTGCTTAAGTGCACTTTGGAGAAAATTCACAGAATCAACTGTCTACTTTTCCATTAGAAGAGAATGTACAAGAATCTCCATACTCCAACTTATCAGAGGAGATGAAAATTTGCTAGACTAGAAAGACAAAATAATCCCAAAGTAACTTAAGAAGTAAAATCTTCTGAGGCAGTGGTGAAACAAAGACCAAACTTTTTTAAAATATAAAAAATGGAATATAAAAAACTGGCATTAAAAGTACAGCCAGTGGAGGGCCTTCCATTTCCAGCCAAGATGGAGTAGCAGAGACCAGATTTAACCTCCACTTGAAACACACAAAAGAAAAAGAAAAAAATATAGGAAGGGAAAAAAGGTTTTCCAGTTACTGGATATCAGGAAATGAAGGACAGCGACCTCTAAGAGACAGGAAGCCAGATGAGAAGTTTACTGCCTTAAAACCCAGCCAACTGAGGGGAGGAGACAAAGCTGAAGGTCCAAGGAGACCAAGACCACTAGAATGTGTGGGGCAGAGTCCTGGAGAGGAGAAAGCTGCACAGAATTGATGTGCAGAGGGTCCCCTCAAATATTCAACATGTGTATGAAGAGACTAGCCTAGTCCAAGGAAAGAATCAGAAGGGATTAGAGGGACAGTGGCCCATATTCAGACAAGACCAAATGAAGGTGAAACAAAGAAGTTCTCAGACATTTCAAAAAAAAATCATTACCCAGAGTACCTGCATACATGTTAAAAGAAGTCCTTCAGGCAGAAGGAAAATGATACCTAGTGGAAATAATGATTTATACAAAGGTATAAAGAGCACCAGAAAGGAGGAGGTGGAGCTTAAGACCCATGAAGAAATACAAATGATTTTTATTATTTCAGTCTCTTTAAAAGATAAAGCACTGTTTAAACAAAAATAAAATAGTATTGTGGGATTCATAAGTTATGTAAAGGTAAAATATATGACAATAGTGCAAAGGCCAGGTAAAAAGAAATGGAAGTATGCTTTTGTAAATGTCTTATATGTCAAGTGACATGTTATACGTGTCTTATACATGAAGTGATACCATGTGAAAAGTAGAACATGATAATGACTTGTACCATAAGATTTAGAGCAACCTCTGAAATAGCAACATCAACAACAAAAGAGCCAAGAAAGGAATAAAGCGGAATCATAAAAAATATTCAGTTAATCCAAGAGAAGGCACAAAAGGGGGACAAAAGGAGCAAAAATGGATAAGACAAAAAGAAAATAAGTATCAAGGTGATGATTTAGACCAAACTATATTAAATCACATTAAATGTAAATAGAGTGAACATTCCAATTCAAAGGAAAAGATGATCAGGTCTGATATGAAAAACAAGAACCAATTAAATACTACTGCCTGCAGGAAACACACTTTAGCTATAAATGCTAATAGGCTAAAAGTAAAAGATTGAAAATGCTATGTTATGCTTGCCCTAAGCAAAAGAAAACTGGAATGGTTACATTAATAACAGACCAAATAGCCTTCAGAGCAAAGAATATCATTGGAGATAAATTATCTGAGATATTCCTGATAAAGGCGTAGGTTCATCAAGAAGACTTAAGAATCCTAAACAATTATGCATTTAAAAACAGAGTGTCAAAATTTGTGAAACAAAAACTGAAAGAACTGTAAGGAAAAATAGGCAAATCCACAATTATACTCAGAGATTTTGATATCTGTCTCTCAATAATTGATAGGACAAATAGATGGAAAATCAAAAAGGTATAGTAGGGACTGGCTCAGTGGCATAGTGGTTAAGTTAGCACACTCTGCTTCAGCAGCTCAGGGTTTGCAAGTTCAGAGCCTGGGTGTGGACCTACACACTACTCATCAAGACAGGCTGTGGCAACATCCCACATACAAAATAGAGGAAGATTAGGACAGATCTTAGCTCAGGGCCTATCTTCCTCACCAAAAAAACAAAATAAAAAAAATTTTTTAAAGAGTATAGTAGACTTGAACAACACTATCAACAAACTTGACCTAACTGACATTTATAGAACTTCCCACCACCAACAGCCTTACACATCTTTTCAAAGTGTACATAGAACTATTTATCAAGATAAATCAGATCCTGAATCATAAAAAAAAGTCTCAATAATTTTAAAAGAATTCAAGTAATACAAAGTATATTCTCTGATCACAATGGAATTAAATTAGAAATCAATAATAAAGATATCTGGAAAATCTCCAAATATGTAAAAACCAAATAACATACCTCAAATAACCGTGAGTCAAAGACAAAATCAAAAGAAAAATTGGAAAGTATTTTGAAGTGAATTAAAATAAAAACAAAACACCAGAATTGGTAGGATGCTATTAAAGCAGTACTTAGGGGGGAACTTATAACATTCCTATGTTAGAAAGAAGAAAGGGGGGCCAGCCCACTGGTGCAGTGATTAACTCTGCATGGTCCGCTTCAGCTGCCCAGGGGTTCGCCGGTTCGGATGCCGGGTGCAGACCTATGTACCACCTGTCAGGCCATGCTTTGGCAAGTGTCCTACATGTAAAGTAGAGGAAGATGGGCACAAATGTTAGCTCAGGGCCAGTCTTCCTTAACAAAAGGAGGAAGATTGGCAGCAGACGTTACCTTGGGGCTAATCTTCCTTAAAAAAAAAAAAAAAGGAAGAAGAAAGGTCTCAGATCAATGATTTCAGTTTCTACCTTAAGAAACTAAAAATGAAGAACAAATGAAACTCCAAGTATATAGAATTAAGGAAATAATAAAGATCAAGAGGAAATTAATGAAATAGACGAGAAAAACAATAGAGAAAATTAATGAAATGAAAACAAAATTCTTTGAGAAGATAAATGAAGTTGGTAAACCTCTAGCAAGACTGACCAGAAGAAAAAGAGACAAAACATTAATCACCAAGGTCAAAATGAGAGAAGTGATATTACTTCAGATTCTACAGATATTAAAAGGATAAAATTATAAATAACTTTATGCATATAAATTTGACAGTTTGGATGAAATGAACAAATTGTTTACAAGACAAATTACAAAAGGTCTTTCAAGAGGTAATAGATAACTTCAACAAGCCTATGTCTATCAAAGAGATTGAAATAGTTAAAATCCTTCTCACAAAGAAAACCTCATACCCAATGACCTCAGTATAGAATTCTACTGAGCATTTAGGGGAAAACCAATACCAATTCGACACAAATTCTTTCAGGAAATTAAAGATAAGGGAATACATTCCAACTCATTCTATGATGCCAGCATTACTCATCATTTATCTGAATTTCACCAGAGCATCTACCAAAAATTACCTTATATTCTTGTGGATATGAGAAATAAATGTGGGGTAAATGACAGTACAGTTGGTACTATTTGTACAGTGGAGGCAGTATAGTCCTTTTTGACTGAGTGACTATGGCAAAACAGTGATTGAATTAACAGATTAATGTCAACATAGAGAGTTTTAATAAAAGCTGAGAACATGTATTAGGATAGGCTCTCAAACAAGCCCATGAGCTTAAAGCAATAAATAAGTTTCTTTTTGGCTCATGGAAGGTTCAGTGTGGATTTTCCTCTTTAGGAGGCTTTCCTGGAAAGTTCTCTTTCAAATGGTGAACCTTGGGATCCAAGTTCCTCCCACTTCCTAGTTCCCTCAGTTCTTTGCTTGCACCAAGTCACTTGGGGAGAGTGCACATGTTTGCACTGCGTGTTTCTGACCAGCACTAAGATGGATCAGATGGCACTTCTGCCTAGATCCCAGTGACCAGAACTCAGTCCTATGCCCTACCTAGACACAAGGGGGGCTCAGTATGTAGTTGTGCTGTATGCCCAGGAGGAAAATAAAACAACTTGGTGAACACATAGCATTGTATCTGCCACAAATATTATGAGTACTTTGACTAACGGCATCAGCATCCACAAGCTAGAGACGTGATTGACATCTAACAAGATTACATTAAAAAATTCTATAAATCAACTTAAATCAAAACTGTAAAATAAGAAAGATTTGACTGAACATCAGCAAGTTAAAATATGGATCAAATGTGTATGAATTTAAGATTTTCTCTCTACTCTACACCATTCAGACTATACTGAAATATTGTATTCAGCCCTAATTGTTGCACCAAAAGAATCATTGACTAATAGGACCAGGCCACAGGATAATATAACTAAGATGGAATGAAAAATTGAAATTTGTCACATGATAATTAGTTGAAAGAACTATGAAAGTTTATGCTAAAGGAAAGATGCAGGGATAACAAAATAGGTGTCATAAAATATTTGAGTAGGGAAATTTTTTGAAACAGAGAACAGATTTATTCTTTATGGTTCTTGATATTAATACAAGGAATTTGAAAATAGAAGGAAAATATGGACTCAAAGGAAATCTTTATAAATAATTGGTTCTAAAAATGTGATCCAGGAACCCCAGGGGCAATCTGAGACTTTTCCAAGGGGTCTGCAAGTTCACAACTGTATTCAAAATAATACTAGGATGTTATTTTCCTTTTAGATACTCATTTTCTTACAAGTGTACAGTGAAGGTTTTTAGAGGCTACTTGACATGTCCTCTTACAAAAAAGAAGACAGAAGAACCTCTTGTTAAGCCAGACATTAAAGAGATTTAAGAAAAGGTAAAACCATTCCATTCTTCTCACTATAATTTTTGAAAATATAATTATTTTTCCAGCTATATTGAGGTATGATTGACAAATGAAAATTGTATATATTTGGGGCTGGCCCATTGGCATACTGGTTAAGTTCACCTGCTCCACTTCGGCAGCCTGGGGTTCACCAGTTCAGATCCTGGGTGTGGAGCTACACTCTGCTCATCAAGCCATGCTGTGGTCGTGTCCCACATAGACGAATTAGAAGGACTTACACCTAGGATCTACAACTAGGTACTGAGGCTTTGGGGAGAAAAAAATAAAAGAAGAGATTGGCAACGGATGTTAGCTCAGGGCCAATCTTCCTCAGAAAAAAATTGTATATATTTAAGGTGTACAACATGATGTTTTGATATATATACATTGTGAAATGATTACCACAATCAAGCTAATTAACATATCCATCATCTCACATAGTTACCTTTGTGTGGATGTATGTATGTGTGTGAGTGAGTTTGTGTGTGTGGTGTGGAAACACTTGAGGTCTACACTCAGCAAATTTCAAGTATACAAAACTTTATTATTTTAGTTACTAAGCTGTATGTTAGATCTCCAGAATTTATTCCTCTTATAACCAAAAGTTTGTACTCTTTGACCAACCTCTCTTTTCCCCTACCCACCAGCCCCTGGTCACCACAGTTTTACTCTCTGTTTACTGTAAGTTCAATGTTTTTTTTGGATGCCATGTATAAGTGAGATCATGCAGTAGTTGTCTTTCTGTGTCTGGCTTATAATTATTAAAGTTAAAAAATATTTACATTAATATGCAATGGGCTTATTTTTAAATGAATTATTTAAACAGTTAATTTTAATTTATAATATGAAAAATATCAATAAATATATTCCACATAAACAAAAGTTCTTTGTGATCCTCAGTAATGGGCTAAGGGTATAAATGGGTCCTGAGACAAAAAATTTTAAGACCCATTGAATGAGAGCTACACAAAATGGGATAGACTGCCTCAGTAGTTAATAAATTCTCTATCACCAGAGGAGCTAGCTGGTCAGTTATTAGGAATATTGCAGGAGGCATTCCAACTTTAGAGATTTGGGTTGGACAACCACTGAAGCCCATTCCAAATCTGAAATTCAAAGATACTAAAACTCTGTAATCATCCATTAATTTCATAAAATACTGGCAAGAATATAAACTTAATTAAAATTAGTTTCATCAAACATCAATTTAGTGTCAGAGCCATAATTAGAATTCTGTTGTCTTTCCACTAGACCCCTTGTGTCCCTTCCCCTGATCCTAGTCCCATAGCTAGCAACCTTATGTTTACCTCCAGGCCTTGGCCAGACAAATGGACCGTCTTCTCTTCTAACTAGAACCATTCATCAGCTCACTGGCTAAGATGTTTGTTGGCTGAGACTACCTTCCTTTCTTAGCACTCCTTGACTGAAAAGACAATAGATCTCTTAGACTTCTGATTTACTGTTTACCCTGACTCTTGTTTTCCATTTATGTCTAAGGCATTCAAACTACATGTTGGCAAAGAAAGAAAGATTCAGTTCTGGGATGTGGGTGGGAAGTAAGAAAACAAGAATGAAGCCAGATAGAAGGTACCACATAGTTTTGTGGTCATTCATGTAGTGGGATGAGTCATAAAGTAGTAAGGCACATACACTTAGACACCAACAAATGCTTTCCCAAATAATAAACCCGAATATAAAAGGTATATTGAATGAATGCCATGCAAGACTTACTAAAGGAAGTATGATAAATCAGTAAGTACAGTATGCCATGAACATGAAGATACTGTAAGCATAAACATTAATTAGTTACTATACTGTATGTGCCAGAATATTCAAGCATCGCTGTTGTTGTCAAAGTTTTGCATTCAGTTACACATTCTTTTATAATGCCCATGGTTCAGAAACTTATACCTATATTTCCTTGCCAAAAACAAAAGAGTAAAGGCAAAAATCCTAAAGTGAAATTCAAGCAGTAAAATAAAATTACCCACAGGATAATTGCAATGACGCCAGACAGTAGAGACTAATCTGAAAAATAGTTTCCCATCAGCCAGTAGCTGTGGCCCTCCCAAACTTAAACCCTAGAGATCATTTTAGTAGTCTTCAAATATTTTTGCATTTATGATGTGAATATTTAAGGAGAAAGCCAGGCCTGATGGTCTAGTGGTTAAGAATCCCCACTCTCACTGCCGCATTCTCACTGCCATGGCCCAGGTTCGTCTCTTGTTCAAGAAACTACACCAACCATCTCACAGTTGTCATACTGTAGCGGCTGCCTGTTGTTGTGTTACTGAAAGCTATGCCACTAGTTTCAGACACCAGCAGGATCACCCATGGTGGACAGATTTCAGCAGAGCTTCCAGACTAAGACAGACTAGAAAGAAGGACCTTGCCACCCACTTCTGAAAAAGTTAGCCATGCAAACCTTATGAACAGCAGCAGAGCATTGTCTGATAGAGTGCCGGAAAGTGAGAGGATCGTGCAAAAAGACTGGGCAGGGTTCCGCTCTGCTGTACACAGGGTCGCTAGGAGTAGAGATTGTATTCTTACCTTACCTTTCATAGTGTGATGGGCAGCTTCTGAAATGGCTCCCGAGGAACCCTACCTCCTGATATTTATGCCATTATGTCATCTCCTTCCCCATGAGTGCTGGCTGGATTTAGCGACTTGTCTCTAACAGGATATATCCAAAGTGGTGGGGGTGGGATGATAAAAATAACTTTGCTGAACTGAAACTTGGTGTATACAACTTGACCAAGTTACCAAGGTTAACAAACACTGGCAATACATGTTGACACTATGCACCCATGATATGATACAATGGAAAGGGCAAATCACTCCTGCGTTACCTTTCCCATAGTGGAAAACCTCTATATAATGAGAAAATATCAAGGAAACCCAAATTGAGGGGCATTCTAAAAAATAACTATCAGTTGTTCTAAAAAATGTCAAGATCATGAAACACAAGGAAAGACTGAGGAATGATTACAGATGAAGGAGACTAAAGAGACATGACAACTAAATGCAATGTGACATCCTGAATTGTCACAGGAACAGAAGAACATACGTGGAAAAATTGGTGAAACCTGAATAAAAGTTGTAGTTTAGTTTCTTTTAAAAGTGATGTGATGTCAGTTCCAAGACTAGACAGAAGACTGTGGCTTCTATCTTGCTTGCACTTACTATGTGGCTCTTCTTGCTCGCTGCTCTGATGAAGCAAGTTCCATGATGTGAGCCCACCTGGAGAGGCCCACATAACGAGGAACTGAAGGTGGCCTCTGGTCAAAAGCCAGGGAGTCTGAGGCCCTTGGTCCAACATCTCTTGAGAAACTGAGTCCTACCAACAGCCACACGATTATCATACGATTGCATTTGGAAGCAGATTCTTCTTTATGTGGGCCCTGAGCTGACTGTAGCCACAGCTGATGCATTGATTCCAGCCCTGTGAGACCCTGAGCCATAGAACCCAGGTAAACCGCACCCAGATTCCCAATTCAGAAACTGAATGATAAGTGTTGTTTTAAGCCCCTAAGTTTTGTGCTGTTTGTTACACAGTAATAGATAATTAAGACCCATGGTTCTATACAATTATTATTCCCATTTTTCCAGGGAGGAAAGTGTCTTAAATAAATTAAATAACTTGCCCAAAGTTGCATAATTAAGCAACAAAACTGCAATTCAAACACTGGTCTCTCAGAGACAGTCTCTGATCTTAATCACTGCATTATAATGTGCTCACAAGGTCCCGCACAATAGCAGATATATTTCTATTCATGAAATTGCTCTAAACCAGAATAAGGTTTTACAAAGCATCTGAACCTATTGCCAAATAAATTTAAGAAAAAAATACCCCTTAATATCTATGTCAAAGTAAAACCATGGGTTTTGGAGGGGGTAATTATTCATCACAATCCAAATGGATAATATTAAGTAATCCCATTTAACTAGTGAATTCTCTCAGCTACTTGGAGGTACTTTTGGCAATTGACATTTAGTAGGCCCAGCAATGATAGACAAAATCAGACATTCTCTAAGAGTCTATAACAAGTTTGAGGGATTTCAGGGCTGATCCAGGAAAAAGATATGACCATGAGGTGGCAGTAGCACATATGAGCTATATCTGGGCAGCACTTTGACAGATTTGCTTGTAGAGGAAGTCCCTCATGGCACAATATTGTCCAGAGGCTTACAGCACAGGGGAGGGAATGAGAAGTACTTTCCAGAAGGGGCGGAGGGCAAGGGAATTGCAGGGGAGAGGGGCATTGGAGAGGGCAGGGGTTTACATGTCTAGTTGTTGTCACTCAGCAACCAAGCAGGGAGTCTGCATCAGAGAGCTCCAAAGGGCGCAGTGGCTCAGGGTCTTTTACAGGGTTTATTTTATTCATGGCTAGCGGATGTTGGGCACAGTTTCCCATCATATGCAAAGCAGGCAGGCTCAAAATGACTAAAAATCTATTTATCTGGGCTATGATGAAAATATTTGGATGTGTAAAAACTTTAGTTTGGCACCAGGGTGTATTGATCGAACAGGTCCCAGACCACTGTGAAGAAATAAACAACCTAGGGGCCATCTTTGGTTCATGTATGTAACAGGTTCACACTAAAGTTCTTCCATAATTGACTGCGTCAAATGATAACAACTTGCCTTTAAAAACCTGTAGGCTAAGACAAAATCATAACTTTTAGTTCTATGGCAGGTAACTCCGAACTCACATGCCTGGCAATTCCATTAGGCCCAGAATTAAGGGAATACTATTAAAATAAAAACAATCATAGTATATTCTTCCTAATTGCTTCTGAAACACTTATTTCTAAGGGGAAATTTTTAGCTATAAAGAAAACCATCACTGACTGCTTGAAATTGCTAGTTTAAAATTTGAATCACATTACCCTCATGGTAAGATATGTGAAAGATATGTAATATGGTAAAGTATGTCAACAAACTTCTATCTAATCCTATCATTCCTCTAATTAAAAAAAAATCTCAACAT